TACAAGTCTCACTCTGGTGAAACCTGTGAACTCTTGTGAAGCTGGAGCAAGCTCGTCAAGCCATCATGGTAAAACCTGTCAACTCGAGAAGAGGCTGTCTAGATGGGTCGACACGTCGATGGGAAGTCGTTAAAGTGCAAAACGCTCCCCGTCCCCAAACAGCCGGACTCTACGAGGGGACACGGCCGGCATGTTTCGCCTCTCCGCGCGCGGCGGTTGCCGACTGGAGGAGATTCCTGCGATTACGGTACCTCCTCTTAAGCAACTTCGGTATTTTGCCAAAACTGAGTGAATAATCAATAGATGGCTTCCCGAGTGCTGCTGTGTTTATTCAACGGAGTGCTGTTTTCGTTCTATTCTACTTGCTTTTTTTCGTCTATGTCTGCTCCTGTTACTACTTTCTTCCAGGCTCGTCACAGAAGTAAACAAATAAGGTGAGTTTAGGTGATCTAAACTCTTTCATGCTTTATTTTCTATCATTACAATAGTTATGTGGTAGCTTGTTATTTTTAATCTTCTGCTATTCGTTCGCATGGTTGCTAGTGCATGTTCCTATTCTTTTTTGTTTACCTGCTGCCCATATTTCTTCCTGTTTATTACTTCATTTTTTCGTTGCTGGTAGGGGGTTGTTTAGTGGCAGAACTGATATGATTCTAGCCCTATTCAACTCTTTTCTGGCATAACAAGATTCCTTGACATCTTAGACATCTTAACTAATCGACTGACCGCCCTTAGTCTGCCCAGTGGCAGTAAAACTGGGTAGGCCATAAAACGCGCGGTCTACTCGCGTATATAAGACCCAGCCTCACGCTCCAGTCAGGGCACGCCATCTTTGTGATCATCACAAGGGGGGGGGGTCGTATTTGCCCGCGATGGAGGGGGGGTCGTAAAAGCGCATGGCCCATGGTGAAGAGGGAGAGCGCGATGCACAGATCACAGATCGTAGTAATGTCTGATGTCCGGGGAACAGAACATAGTGAGATCCGAAAATGAAATAAAGTGTGAAATGTGTTCTTCTTCAGGTTCGCCGACTCGGTCATCATCTTTATTTGCTATGTGCTCAAAGTTCGAAAATATTGGAAGATGAGGAACAGCTATTACAAAGAAGGCTATAGATGTTACATAATCAATGCATGATAAAAAGTTCATTAACTGTCCTTGTCGTGGAGAACACCTGTGGAAAAGATCATAGACTTAGACACGGATTACAACTTCTTGGAAAAGTACTATGCGCCTCAGGCTGCACAGCCTATCGGGGAACCTCCCTGCTCGACGAATATTCTTGCCTACGACCCCTGGAGATTTCCTGACTTCCGGGAGTCAAATTTGCACAATTCTGCTCGAACGCATAAGACTGATTCACTAGAAGTGCAGCCTTTCAGGAACCTTGCTATCACGATTTCCTGGAACAGACTTTGGACCTCCAAGTGAGGACCCTACCATTATCAACGCATTCACGCTAGGTAGAGCATACTTACAAATGGCCGAATCTACTAAAACAAAAGTGCACATCGCCCTCATGTATGATGAAATGCAAAGAGCTTTACAACAGTATATGGCTCCCGGCAAGCATTCTTCAGAAGCAACCCACATTTTTCCTTATGCGTTGGATAGGCACATAATTATATCACTCACTCAAAGCAGTAGCCGTGGCTTTGAGTGAGTGATATAATTATGTGCCTATCCAACGCATAAGGAAAAATGCTTTCGTTCTGCCATGGCTACCCTTACCCCACTCAACTCGAAGAAAAACAAACCTTCCGGACCTTCCCTAGTCCACACGTTTCAACAAATGTCTGAAGACTGTTCGACGGTGTTCACTGAGCTACATAATCTATTGGAGAAGAAAGTGCCCGAAGCTATACCGCTACTGGAAAAATTGGTGAGCTTGCTCAATCCTAATCCGGCGGATATAGTTGAAGCGGAGAAAAGAGCTCGCTCTGTGGTTATATCTGGAGTTCCCGAGTGCGAAGGTAATACTTCTCCATCTAGCAGACAAGCTGCTACAGAAAAGTCGGTGAGTGATATTTTAGATGCATTAGGTATCGAAACAAGACCAGTAGAGGTATACAGGCTAGGAAAACGAGAAAATGGTAGATGTCGCCTCATCAAATGTGTTTTTTCAAGTCGCAGATTTTTCTATGAAACTCTGAAAAACGCTAGAACATTGAAATCTATCCCTGCTTTCAGAAACGTTTTTATTCGTAGATCAATGACTTTTGCTGAAAGAGAGCAGGATAAACAGTTACGCGCTAGGGCCAAAGAGATGAATCATGAAAATCCTAATGGCGAAAGGACTTTTGTTGTATTCAGACAGCAGGTTGTCAATAAATCAGAAATACCAGGTATGCTTAAGCCCAAGACAAAAAACTAGATAGACCGCTCTCATATCATTGTTTTTCTAACATTTTACTTAACGCGCGCAGTCTTGTAAATAAGCTAGACGAATTTCACCATTTCATTTCTATGCACAAACCACAGGCAGTTTTTGTTACAGAAACTTGGTTCAACTCCAAAATAACAAATAACGAAGTCATCTCAGATTTGCCATATCAAGATCATTCGTAAAGACCGCTTAGGTAAACGAGGAGGTGGAGTTTGCGTTCTGCTTCAGAACAATATTGAATTCAAACTGGTCCAAATAGATTCTACAGATATTCATTCTGACATTCTCTGCTTTGACATTTTAGGTTTTTCATTTGATCATTTACGTTTTATTGCGGTTTATCGCCCTCCTAAGCAGAGTTCCTCTGATGATGAGATATTATGCAATCTTTTGGTTGATTTATGTTCTTCTTCCCCCAACGTGGTTATACTTGGAGATCTTAACCTTGATATTGATTGGTCTAAAATAGAATCCCCACTAGCCAAACAAAATAAATTCAACCGTTTTATTTCGCTGTTTTCAATGCTGAGCCTTAAACAACATGTGGGAGAGCCTACCTGTGGTGCTTCAATCATAGACTTAGTGCTTCACAACTCCAAATCTTGTGGTGAATGCTGTTATTGAACCGCCTTTGGGTACCTCAGACCACAACATTGTGGTATTTTCGATCGAAACAGAGGAGCGCAGTCTGGCCAAACGCGTCTACAAAGATTACACCAAAGCTAATAAAGAAGCCATTATAGCTGAACTCAATACAATTGATTGGTTCACCATTTTCCACAATTATCAATCGATCGATGACGTCTATGATAGATTTCTGCTCGTACTGCATTCCCTCATCGATCAGTTTGTTCCTGTCAAAGTATTCACCCATTTTAGTGAGTCCTATCCCCCCTACATCAGGAATCTTTATCAACAGCGTGAAAGGCTGTTTCGAGTTCTAGATAATCCCTTGACATCAGCTGAATATAAAAGAGTAAATAAGGATTTCACCTTTCATCTGAGAAGGTATCTTGCTTTTAAAGAGAGAAAAATGGCTAAATGTCGCAACATGAAAACTCTCTTTGCTTATATTAGTAAGCGACTCAGTAAAAAGAATCGTTCCTCATGCCTTTATGATAATAGTGGACATCTCCTCACAACTGCCCCTGAAAAAGCCAATGCTTTAGGTGAATACTTTGCTACTGTGTTTTCGCCAACTGAAAATGGTGGTCTCAGCTTTCCATGTCGCGTTCGGTCGGACTGCCCTCTGCCTGTTATAGACCCAACTCAAGTCTATAAATACCTCAAAAAAATTAAAAGCTCGGCATCTTTACCGTCCGACGGTATTCCAGCCATTTTTTACAAAATGTTTGCTAATGTACTCGCAGCTCCTCTCTGCCATATATTCAATATTTCACTAATCGCAGGAGAAGTGCCCGCTATTGGAGAGAATCTGTTATTATAGCAATCCCCAAGAAGCCCACTGCCTCAGTACCTAGTGAATTCAGACCGATCAGCATCACCCCATCTCCTTGCAAAGTGATGGAAAAAATCCTAAAGTCCTGCTTACTATCATGGTTCGATAAATATCATATTATCCCGCGCGAACAGTTCGGCTTCGTAAAGAACTCATCCACTTGTCTACAACTATTGGAATGCACGCACAAATGGGCTACTGCTTTGAGTGAATCCAAAAATGTCGACATCATATACTTCGACTTGAGCAAAGCATTTGATAAAGTGGTCCATATTAAGCTCCTTGATAAACTAGATAGTGTTGGCATTAGAGGTTCCCTTTTGAAATGGTTGAAGTCCTACCTATTAGGAAGATCATTCACTGTTAATTTTCAAGGGGCCTTCTCACATAGTCACTACTGCACCTCTGGGGTTCCCCAAGGAGGAGTTCTTTCACCGCTCTTATTTATAATATATACAATCGACCTCCCAGCCGCCCTCGCGTTCGATAAAGATATCGAGATTTATGCGTTTGCTGATGATATTAAAGCGTTCACATGTTCCAAACCTGGCGAGTTTTCGAGCATGAATGCTCGGATGAATGAAGTTGTGGATCGTTTGTCTGAATTCACCAGAGATTGGGGCCTAGAGCTCAATTTCAACAAAACTTGTGTTCTCACTTTGGGAAAAAGATCATCTGAACTCTCTTTAACAAACATTCCCTCGTCATCTATTGTAACTCAAACACGGGATCTCGGCGTAACTGTTTCTAGCTCTATGACTTGGGATCGCCATATTGACGATATTACTACGCGTGCCCTTCGTTGTCTTTTTAGCCTTTTTAGGACGGTTAAATCGTCAGATGTAACCATCCTCATTAGGCTATATAAATCATACGTGCTCCCGATTTTAGAATACTGTTCTCAGGTGTGGAGCCCACAAGTAAAAAAGCTAATATGGAAGCTTGAAAAAGTACAGATGACATTCACTAAGCTGGTCTATCTTCGCGCACTTCCTGATCCGAGCTACCCTCGAACTTTGCCATCCTACAATGTTCGCCTTGAAACACTTGGCATGAGAAGCCTTCTCTATAGGCGAACCTTAGCAGATTTAGTGCTCGCTTTCAGAATTCTAAAAGGTGAGACCTGTCTTATACCTTCTACCTTTTGGCGTTTTCAGCCGTCGTTTTTGAGAAGGCCCTCGTATAACATTTCTGTTTCCAGATCTTTCGGTCGTTTTGGCTACCAAAATAACACTTCCAGAAATTCGTTTTTCTACCGTACGTCCGTCTGGCTTAACAAGCTACCCATTCAATGTTATTCAACAAGAGAACACGTCACTTTTCAAAAAGGCCCTTAGGAAAATAGATTTGATGACATTACTGGATGTTAACGACTTTTAGAGAGAGTGCCATTTTAGTGCAGTTACAGATTCACCTAGGTTCAACTTGACAGAATCGAACTAATTATAGTCTTCTTTACACTGCTCTCACATGTTTGCTTCCATGTTCGTTGACTTTTTTGCTTTTAATTACATGAATGGTTTTTCTGCCTAAGTTCTCTCTCTTCTTTTATCTCTTACCCATACCTCACACCTTGGTCCACAATACAAACGCATATGATCATACTTCCCTGCATCAGAGGATCCTCTCGGATGCCTTGAGCACTAAAAGGCGCTCACGCTTACTATTACTTACTATAAAAAGAAAGATCAACAAGTGAACTGGTTTCATCTAGGTTCACTTGGGGGTCTTACGCCTGAGGTGACAAACTGTCTTTTTTCCACAAAACAGTACTTTTTTGAATTTTTTCTTTTCTCAGTTGCAACATACAAGAAAGATTGGATCTATAATTCAAATCACATCCGATATCATATATTGCAACCTTGCTTCTTCACTTATCCTGATGTTACCGTGGCCGGGAAGCATCTGTTTGGGCCACTCAAATTACGACCACCGCCTCGTCACCATCCGATCGCTTCGTGCGGTTGCACATTTAATTAAAACTGACCCCGGTGAATTGAGGTGTGAGTGGAACATCGAGTTCTCTTTCGGGTTCATCCTGGATGTGGAGCCACCTCTGACATCGCCTACTGCAATATGTATTGCATGATATCTGGTGTGCTTCAATTTAGCCATGATTCACTTCAAACTTTTTTCTTTGCAGAAGGCACATTCCTTAAATGTAATAAAATAACAAATAAAATATTTACTTATTACTTCATCATGGCATCCAATGTGTTACAGTCAGTTTAACCTCAGTGCGAAATCTAGGTTAACCTACGCTCCTTTAATGCGTCGAGCCGTTAGTAATGCATAATGTTTCCTCTGATGCAGGTCCACATGGCTCATCAATTTCACCCTAATGTAGAGCTGAGGTGTAGTATGGGGAAGAGGTTTTTATACGATCGATTTATTGCCTATGTTCTACTTGGCTTGTACGCCCTCGTTTAATTACTTCCCTCCGCATTTAGTTTGCCTAACGGTCGGTTAATGTTTTTCCTTTGTTTCGGTTTGATTTGCCACCGGTTTGGTTTGCCTTCAGCGATCTGATTTGCCTTTGAGTTGTATGTTCTTAATATTCATGTTCTTTTTTGCTGTCGATGGTGCACTTAAGTGCTATTAAATAAATAAATAAATAAATAAATAAAGCCACATCCTGTCCGAAGA